ACTGCACTGGAAATGGGAGCGGGCCACAAGGGCCCACACCCGTTGTGTGAAAAGTCTGAGGATTTTTTTGTGGACTTCGGAGTAGGTGCCACCGCACCATGGGGTGCTTAGGGCCGCTGGCCATTCCCGCGCTGGGAAGTAGAATGCAAAGGCCGCTGGCCAAACCCGATAGAGGGTATGAGTATAGGCCGCGGGCCAAGCCCCAAGGGGGGGTAAACATTTTTTGACCTACCTCGTAGTGGCACCCTTGGAGGTGCCGGTTCTTTTCGTTTCATTACTCTCTTTTTTTAGACAAGCTAGAATCCTTGTTGGATAGTGGCCAAGGCTCGAGACTCGAAGCTCATGGGCCAAGCTTTTTCAATTCCTGTTGATCTCCTTTCTTAAAATAGCATCGAGAACCCCAATCTGAAAAAAAAAAAAAAAAAAAAAACAAACAAACAAACAAACAAACAAACAAAAAAAAAAAAAGGCCTCACAATGCCTTGGGACCTCACAAGGCAAGGCACGACAAAAAAAAAAAAAAAAAAAAAAAAAAAAAAAACGGGTGCGGCCACATCAGGGCACACGAAGCCAAACACATTGTTGGGCCTACAATGTCTAGCGCGAGGCACATAACTAGCCTAGCTTCCGTCCCATCACATGCTCTTTGACAAGCCATTGGAGGGATTTGGCTTACTAGAATTTGCGATGCTTCGCAAGAGAAAGATGGTGCAAGCGAGCAAGAGAGAGAAAGAGAGAGAGAGAGAGAGTGTGTGTGTGTGTGTGAGAGAGAGAGAGAGAGAGAGAGAGGGAGAGAGAGAGAGAGGGGGAGAGAGAGAGAGAGAGAGAGAGAGAGAGAGAAAGTGAGAGAGAGAAAGAGAGAGAGAGGGAGAGAGAGAGAGAGAGAGAGAGAGAGAGAGAGAGAGAAAGCGAGAGAGAGGGCAAGAAAGAGAGAGAGAGAGAGGGAAAGAGATAGAGAGCGAGAGGGAGAGTGAGAGAGAGAGAGAGAGAGGGAGAGAGAGAGAGAGAGAGAGAGAGAGATAGAGAGAGAGAGAGAGAGAGAGAGAGAGAGAGAGAGAGAGAGAGAGAGAGAGAGAGAGAGAGAGAGAGAGAGAGAGAGAGGGAGAAAGAGAGAGAGAGAAGGGGTGAGAGAGCCCGAACGTGAGAGAGCAACATCGAAAGCGCATGCGCGGTGGCGCAGCATGCGACCGGCTGCCGGGCCAGATACCCATTGGCCTAGCCCCTTAGATTCATATCGTGTCATCCAGTAGCCTTCATGGACACATCCCTGGCTTCAAAAAAAAAAAAGAAAAAAAAAAGGGTATGCTCACGATCACGTTTGGTGGACTTCGCACTCACTCTGTCCAGCATTTACGATCCTTACCCCATCTTTTCGTTGGATTCCATTTGCAGAACTACTCACACATGACCTCACGGGGCTTGGTGATCCCTTCGAATACTCAGTGACGGATCGGACGGTCTCAACCATGCGCGGGCGCCTGCAAGACGCACTACCCTGGTGGCGTTCGTGGTGCACCAGTAGCTTGATCATATCAGTAATTGACAGAAGCTACTGGATGCCTTGGAAACAAGGGCCCCCACAATTTTTCCGGAGCACCAATCATGCGGGGGCCCAAATTCACGAGGCATTTACGAAGTCCGCCATCGCGGATCTCCTCCAAACCGGCGCCGCAGCAAAGGTGCCAGAACCAACGCTCACATGCGTCAGCCCTCTCAACGTTGTGGAACAGCACGACAAATGTCGTCTCATCCTCGATCTGCGCAAGGTCAACCAGGAGCTGCAAATTCCAAAATTCAAGTACGAGGGACTCAATCGCGTCGCAGAGTTGGCACGTGCAGGTGATTGGATGTTTTCAATCGACCTGAAGTCTGGCTATCACCACGTCGACATTCACCCGTCGTGTTGGAAATTCCTGGGTTTTCAATTTGGCGGGCACTCATACTGTTTCCGCTCCCTTCCGTTCGGACTGGCTACGGCACCGTTCATCTTCACGCAGTTGATCAAGCAACTCGCGCGCCGCTGGAGAACAATGGGAGTGCGTGTCATACCGTATGTGGACGATATCCTCTTCCTTTGTCATTCGGAAGCCGACGCCCAGGAAACTTCCACCCACGTTATCGATGATCTTTGCAAGGCGGGCCTCGTGATCAACGCCAAGAAATCCCACCTTCAACCAACCCAGCGCTTACGTTTCCTGGGCTTGGAACTCGATACCGAACTCGGCCAATTCTCTGTGGGTCCGGAACAGCGGGCCACACTGCAGGCTACTATCCAGTCGCTCCTGGAAGCCGGACGCAGCCAGTCCAAAGTCTCCGTCTGGCACGTCGCGTGGGTTACTGGTATGCTTGCTTCGATGTCTCTTGCGCTTGGGGCCACTGCCAGGGCATTCAGCCACGCTCTGCTGCAGACCATCAACGACGCTCCCTCCTGGAACAGCAGAGTATTGCTCTCACCTATCGCCTGCGAGGAGTTGGAATTCTGGTCAGCCGAGTTTGACCACTTCAACGGCGCCCCATTTCATGTGCGCTGTAGCTACGACGCTGTAATTCACGTCGATGTGAGCAGCCACGGCTGGGGGGCTACCCTCAATACGTTCTCTGGCAACCTTGATGAAGCCAGCATGAACATGCCCGCCGCTTTGCGACACACGTCCAGTACCCGTCGAGAGATTGAAGGGGTTCTATGGGCACTGCAGACATACAGCGACCTACTCCGAAACAAGCATGTGCTCGTACGAGTGGATAATCAGGGAGTTTTCTTCATATTGAAGAAGGGTGGCTCACACAGCTCTGATCTCACCATCGCTTGCAAGGAGATCATTCGCACGTGTACTACCCACCGAGTCCGCCTCATGATGGAGTGGATCCCTCGCGAACTCAACACACATGCGGACGAGCTTTCCAAGATCCTCGATCGCAATGACTACACGCTAAAAACGTCGTGGTTCAACATCCTTGACCGGCGCTGGGGTCCCCATTCCATTGATCTCTTCGCCAATGCTAGCAACGCCAAGCTGCGTCGTTTCTGTTCCGAAAACCCGCACCTTGCTGCTACGGCGATCAACGCTTTCACGATCTCTTAGTCGGCAGAACAAGGCTTTGCCTTCCCCCCACCTCAACTGATCCCCGCCGTCCTCCACCATGCGCAACGTACACACGCGTTTCTCACCCTGGTACTTCCCCACTGGCCCGGCGCCAGCTGGTGGCCACTCCTCCAACCCTCACCGCCAGCCTGGGCTAGCCCCATCAAAGCTCACATCCGACTCACGTACGGAAGCCAATGCTTAGCCCCTGGCACACACACTAGCGCCTTCTCCGGCTCTGGTCTACCTGATAGCCTCATGCTCGCTCTGCAAGTCACGTTTCCCTAATGTCTGCCTCCCCCTCTGTATCACAAACACATCTAATCCCAACCCTGCAACGCGAGCTGCTTTTGGTCATGGCACAAACGCGCGCACACTCCACAATTCGAACTTACGAACCTTACTGGCAGCAGTTTCGTTCCTACTGCATCAAGGTCAACCTTCCCTTCCTGCCAACCGCGGACATGACACTCGCCTTGTACCTTGTCTATGCAATTCGAAACAAGGCCACTCTCTCAGTGATACAACTCACATGCTCGGCCGTCAGCTTCGCTCACCGCATGATTGGGGCATCCTGCCCCAGCACTGGCCCTTTCACGTCACAAGTTTGAGAATTCGCCAAGCGACAGTGTCCCCGGCCCAATCGGACCAAGGAACCGGTCTCTTTACATCAAGTGCACGAATGGCTACTCACTTCATCGGTGCTAACGACCCAGCCACGTTCCAGAAAGGTCTCATTCCCCTTCTCATGTACATCGGATTTTTGCGTTACTCCGATCTCGTGGCCATCAACTAGGAGGATATCTAGTTTGAGGATGACGTAATGTGGCTGCTCATCCCGCGTTCCAAAACGGACCAGGCAGGTCAGGGCTCATGGGTTCCTGTTGCTGCCGTCCCAGGACCCCTCTGCCCTGTCCGATGCACCAAACGCTTCATCCGGTTGGCAGGCTATGGACCCACCACTCCCTGACCCTTAATCCGGGTGTTCGGCGTGGCCGCAGGTGGCGTCCCCACCAGCAAGCCGCCATCATACACCACCATACGCAACTGGTGCAAGGAGGCTTTCCAGTCCATCAACCTGGGTGAGCATCACCTCGGCACCCACTCCTTTCGCAAAGGCGCTGCGACCGTCGCTGCCCACGGAGGCGTAGCGGACCGGCTCTTCAAACGTCTTGGCCGATGGCGCAGCGACACGGCCAAAGAAATGTACGTCACACCCGCCGTCGACCAACTGGTTGCGGCCTCCCGCAACGTACAGACCCTCGGGTCGGCACCATCCCCGGCACAACATTCTCGAGCTCTTGTACGCCACCGACAGCCATCTCCCTCCATGTCTCAGGTCAACCTAGTAGAATGAGAACGATGCCATTTGCACTACAAGTAGCGAGCTTTCTCAATATATAAATTTTTAAAGTGTTCACACTTTCAAAATTGTGTATTGTGAATGCGAAGCTGCTTGTAACGCAATCCAAGGCATCGTCGAAGCGCGCTATTCGCCCTTCTCCAACCATATAATGGGGTTGGAGGTCATTCTTCCTCCACCCACGTTTTTCATTTTTCCCAGCTCAAGTTCAATTCCCGCCCACCCAACCCGCTTCGTCTACCCTCTTCAACATGCACCGCTTCGGTGGATCATCCTCGGCATAGACATATCCCAGTGTAGACATTTTAAAAAGTTTATGCTAATAGATGAATATATTGGGAACTCTTTGAACTTGATGCCAGTGGAATGAGAACGATGCCATTTGCACTACAAGTAGCAAGCTTTCTCAATGCGGGTACTCTAAAAATTGCGCCATATGCCACCCATGGGCTGACTATTTCGGCAGAGTATATACGGGGGATTACGGTAGTAGTGCCACCGTGAGTAGCATGTCTCTTGCTAGGCACTGCCCCTTGTCTAGCCTAGGGAGGGGGAGTGTCAACTTATATTTATATGTTGTTATAGGCCAGATAGGTGCGTGCTCTTAGAGAGTACAACACACTAGCACAAAACCACCCTGTATCCTCTTGTCTGATCATTCCATTATTCTAAGACCCAGGCCAGGACCCTTGTGATCGCATCAGAAACTTGAAATAATGAAACGAATACTGAAAAACTAGTACGGCCCTTCATATGGTGTGAGGCCCTCATCATCTGAAGCACTGTAGAGCCTGCAAGATTCATACACCAATGGACAAAAAGGGTGAAGGGAGTGGGGAATAATGAAGGGAAAATGCACCCAAAGAAGACATTCATAAATCGTATCCAGCAGCACATGTCCATGAACCTCAAACAAAACGACATGCGCACAAAGTATGCATGAAACTTATTCAACAGGACCCATGCATAAACCTTACCAACAAGACACGCACAAATCGTACCCGATATTAAGGTCGGTTTGAGGCAGCCCCCTGTGCTTCTGTGGGGCACTTGCAGCTGCAAAGGACGCACTGCTTACTGCCGGGAAAGCACTGTTCATTGCAGGGAGTGCACTGTTCACTTCTGGAAATGCACTGTTCACAATGGGAGAAGCAGGCATGGTGGAAGCAGAGAGCAACGAGAAGAGCCCCAGCTGCCTCTTCCCAAGTGCTTGCGGGACGTTGTCCTTAGGCGCACTGCTGCTGTTAGGTGCACCATGCCTCAAATCCTCTTCCCGCTGCTGCCGCTGTTGCTGCTGTTGCTGCTGTGTGTGCATGCGGTTGCCATGAATCGCAGCAGACAGCTCCTCCCTCCTGCCCTCTGCCCCTGTCCCCTGCTCCCCTGCCTGAGATCCGCATGCTCCTTGCCCTCTGGATTGCCCCCCTCGCAACAACACCTGTTGGTCGCGCAAGCCTGCCAGCCAATGCTGTTGCGTCCATGGCTGCAACAAGTGCTGCTGCTGCTGCTGCTGCGGCTGCATTTGTTGCTGTAGCTCTTGCTGCTTCTGTTGCTCATGCTGTTGCTGCTGCTCCTGCTGGTGCTGCCGTTGCTGTTGCTGCGTCTGCTGCTGCCCTTGCACCTGCTGCTGCACGGCCTGCTGCCGCAGCTGCTGGATCTGGTGGTGGAAGAACAGGCGCTGCCAAGGACCACTCCCCTCCGCCCTCTCCGCCCTCTCTCCACCCACCTGTCGGTCCAACTCAAATGCCGTGGCATGCGGCATGCCGGCAGCAGCAGGCCAAGACACACCATCCCTGCTGACTCCCTCCAGAGCCTCCTCAGCAGCACCACCACACCTGGAGGCGAGTGAGGCTGTGCGAGGGTGAGCAGGTGCGCTACTTGCCCAGCCCGTGCCACGCTCTGCCGAGTCCCCTCCGTGCACCCTGGACTGCCAACTCCCTTCTTGCTGCTGCTCGATCTCCCTCCCCTGATCACCCCCCCCTTGCCCCATCTGGAACCTTCTCAGCAGCTTCGTTTTCTCCTGCGTCAGCTGCTCCTCACCCCTGCGCTTCCTTTGCAGCGGGGCTTGGTCCCTTGAATACCCATCGCCTGATATACCACCGTTCACATCCCGGTTGTTTGACACCCCGACGGTCGACCCTCCAAAGGAACGCTCCCTAGCCGCACTGTCTCCTACTGCTGACCGCACTGCCATATCCGCATGACCACCGGCTGCTGCTACAGCTGCTGCTGCACCACCTGCTGCATCATCACTGAATGTCCCCTCGGCATTATCACGGGCCATCCCCAATGCTACAGCTGCGTCGAGAGCAGGAACAGCGGCGGCAGGAGGAATGGCTGCAGCAGCAGCAGCTTCGGTTTCGCCTGCTGCTGCCTCTAGCGCTTCCTGCTTGACCATAGTCCGAGCTGCCTCTGCCAGCGCTGCCACTCCGCTGGCAGCAGCAGCAGCAGCATCGTCACAGCTGGCAACAATAGCAGCAGCAGCAGCAGCAGCAGCAGCACCAGCACCAGGACCAACACCAGCACCAGCACCAGCACCAGCACCAGCACCAGCACCAGCACCAGCACCAGCACCAGCAGCCGAGCCGGCCAGTGCGAGCGAGTGTCGGTGGGGATAGAGCGGAGCATGGTGCGGTGTATCAACGGTGAAAAGCGGTGCAGAGTGGTGAGTTGGTGCAAGGGAGTTGCCATGTGCACTCGTGCTGCCATGTGCATGTGAACTGTTACGCGAATAGCTGTGCGGGCGGGACAGGCGGGTCAACGGATGGGTCGGCATGGCATGGGCGTGCCGAGAGGCGCCAGCTGAATCGTCCATGTTCTCATCGTCCTCATCAGCATCGGAATCACTGTCATGCAGCCCAATCACCCCGCCATCCTCCCCCACGCCTGCCGAAGGTATTACAGCCCCACCGGCGTCGCCATCACCATCGCCATCACCCTCACTGCAGTCGTCATCATCCCTATCCTCCTCCCCATCCCCCTCCCCATCCTCCTCCCCATACCCCTCCATATCCCGATCCCCAATCCCCTCCCCAATGCGCTTCCCACCTGCTTCCCCATCCCGGCGCTCCCATCTGTCCTCCCCCCGCTCACTCGCCCCACGCTCACCCCCTGTTCTCACCTCCCCTGAACCTGCAACCCCCACCTTGCCCCCACCCCCAGCATCAGCCGCTGCTGCCGCCTCTGCCTTGCTCCGACCCTCCAGCTGTTAGGGAGACATGCATAGGGCATTGGACAAGGCACAGAGAATGACGCAAGGCTTAGGGAATGGGGCAAAGGAGCAAGACATGGGACACGGAGCAAAGCATGTGACAAGGCAAGGAGGTGAAAGTTGTCGGCTACAAAAAAAAATAAACAGAAAAATCGGAGGAATTTTATCAGCTGTAATGGGATACATTGGGCAAACTTCTGTAAGGGCAAGTTCCCCCCTAATGTCAAGATTTTTTTTACCCAAAGCTACCGACGGTTTAGATCCTGACACGTCAGAAAATTTGATGAGGTGTAACGCTCGAAACCGTCCGTACTTCATGTCATATTTCTTGACACTAGGGGGGAACGTACCCTACGGCCTCGGGAAAAAAGGGGGGAAAATGGGCACAGTGCTGGATCATAGCATGTGTCGCATCCTAACTTTTATGACCACGAGCGGTAATTGCAACACCTCCTTTGATAATCGGTGGCTCAGCCCGTCTCAACACAACCGGCCGACCCGATTTTCCATGGCCGGTCCAACCTAGACAAGAGCATGTGCCGAGCCCTGCCAAGCCAGGTTCCACTAGAGCCGGGGCGCGCTTGAGCCGGGCCTGGCTCGTCCTCCGGGCGAGATCCACTCAAGGGCATTTCGCTGGTTGTTGACGAGCCGCGATGAGGCCTGTGTCATGCCCGCCCTGGCTCGTCACATTCATGCCCGCCCTGGCTCGTCACATTCATGCCCGCCCTGGCTCGTCACATTCATGCCCGCCCTGGCTCGTCACATTCATGCCCGCCCTGGCTCGTCACATTCATGCCCGCCCTGGCTCGTCACATTCATGCCCGCCCTGGCTCGTCACGTTCATGCCCGCCCTGGCTCGTCACATTCATGCCCGCCCTGGCTCGTCACATTCATGCCCGCCCTGGCTCGTCACATTCATGCCCGCCCTGGCTCGTCACATTCATGCCCGCCCTGGCTCGTCACATTCATGCCCGCCCTGGCTCGTCACGTTCATGCCCGCCCTGGCTCGTCACATTCATGCCCGCCCTGGCTCGTCACATTCATGCCCGCCCTGGCTCGTCACATTCATGCCCGCGTCGATGGGCCCGGGCCGGCCCGTGGCCTGTTCGCGCTGTCAACCGAGACGACGACGGGCCATGGTCAAGATATCCGACCGAAATTCTGCCCGATTCGCGCAGATTGGCACGCGAAACGAGATCGGGGGGCGAACCGCCACAAGCAGTCCGGCCAGTCTCCAGCCTGCCCGGCCCGTCCTCTTAGACCGGCCTCGGGCCGGGGTGGGGGGCCGGCCGGCCCGGTCCAAGCCCGACCCTTTTGGAAGACGGGCCGGCCCGAGCCCCTCCTTTGCCCATGTCTAGGACAAGGCAGCATGGACGAGCAAAACGATGCATGGAAGCACGCGAGAGGTCCCGAGACAGGTAGGCGAGGCACACAGGCATGCAGGAAGGCAGACAAGCAAGCAGGCAGGTAAGGGGGCACGCGTACCCGAGACTTGAGCTCGGAGATGGTTCGGTTGAAAAGCTCCTCCTGCGCGGTAGAGGCAAGGGGAAACGGGCGCGCAGCCAAACAGGCAGTGGGGGGAGACATTGAGGGCACAACGGGGGGGGGGGGGAACAAGTGAGGCGAGGAAAGTGGGAGACTGTGAGGGGAAAGTTGGGGGGGCATGATTTGAGGTGGGGAGAAAAAGAGTAGTGGGAAGGGGGTACCGAGAAACGCACGGAAAACGGGACAGATGTGAAAGCAGCGATGGCTTAGTCTGAGTTAAATGGGAGGACGGAAAAGGGAAGGGGAAAAGAGGAGGGGAAGAGGAAAAGAGGAGGGGAAGAGGAAAAGAGGAGGGGAAGAGGAAAAGAGGAGGGGAAGAGGAAAAGAGGAGGGGAAGAGGAAAAGAGGAGGGGAAGAGGAAAAGAGGAGGGGAAGAGGAAGGAAACGATGATGACACGCAGGTGATGAGGGGCGGTGGGACGAAATGCTAGATAAGGGTCAGGAGAGGGACGACGTGGTGGGGCGAGGGGTTGGTGAGAGATTGACGGGGACAGTGAGGAAGCATGACACGGGGGATTGCGCATCCGAGTAGAACAACGGAGAAGTGCGGAAGAGCGGAGAAACTGAGGTGAGGAAGCGAGGACGGGGAAGGTTAAGTACGGGAGGGGAACGAGTGGCGATGAGAGGGGAGGAACCCAGGGAAGAGGGACAGCAGCATGCGGGCTGGAGAGTGGAGGCACGTGGAGGGCTGTGCCAAGCCAACAAACCCCCCATCAGCCTCTTCTCCACCACTCTCTATTCTCACTCCTACCCTCCCACCTTTCTCTCCCACTCTCTTCTCTCCTACACTCCCCGCCTCCCACCCCTTCCCTCCCCCTTACCCTCTCCCTCCCACCTTTCTCTCCCAACCGATTCGCTCCAACCCTCCTCTCCCACCCACTTCTCCCCCGCCCCCCCGCTCCCACCTTTCTCTCCCGCAGTCGAGACAGGCTGGCCTCCAGCTGCTTCTCCAGCTGTCTCATCTCCTCCAATCCCAGGCCCTCGAATGATTCTGCTGACGTGTCCAGCGGAACAAGGGCCCGTGATTGCTCCGCTTGAAGCCTGGAAATGTCGAATCGCAGGGAAGCAGGTGGGGAGGGACGGGATGGATGGGGAGGGACGGGATGGATGGGCAGGGGGAAGGGGGGGGAGTGGGGGAAGAGGGGAGGGAGACGGGGGGGGAAGGGGGATGGGGGGAAGGGAAGGATACGTGGGGGTCATTGCGTTGTGGAGTGACGGGGGTCGAGAATAGGAACTTTGTACATGCTACGATCCATCGAGTGCAAAACCCTAAAGCCCATCAGTCGGGAGAGCATAGAGACGTAGGGCGTGGGGAGTGGAGGTGGTGAAGGGATAGAGAATGGATTTTGGAGCAGCAGTGGTGGGTTGTGAACGGCGAGTGACATGAGACTGCCCCATTTTGACCCAGAGGACTAAATAACATACATACATGCAACAGGCAAACGAAGAATGCATCGAAATCTATTATTTGATGCAGTGACATACAATGCCTTAAGATGAATATGACAAGAAACAACGAATATGACATGATATGGCAGAATTATATGTACCAATACGACAAGTATGGCATGATATGGTACAACAACAACACAATATGATGCGGTACGGTATAATAGGATATGATTCGATATGACATGATATATTTTGATTTGATCTGATATGATATGATATGGTATGATAAATAAGCTATCATCGACAAGAGGAACGAAGCGCACCTCGACAGCTCCAAGTCGCGTGGCTGTGGCTCTGCTGCCTTCTTGAGGGTCTGGGACCAAGGGGCGGAGAGGAGGCGAGGGCCGGAGAGGAGGCGAGGGGCAGGAGAGGCGAATGGAGGGGGATGGAGGGGGATGGAGGGGGATGGAGGGCGATGGAGGGGGGTGGAGGGGGATGGAGGGCGATGGAGGGGGATGGAGGGGGATGGAGGGCGATGGAGGGGAACGAAAGGAATGGAGAGGAATGGAGGGGGAGCAAGCACGAAGGAGGGGGAGGGAAGAGAGCGAAGGAGGAAAGAGGCGGAGGGAGGGCAAGGGAGGGAGGGGCAGGAAGGGGAGATGGAGAAGGGAGGTCAAGGAGGAAAAGGGAAGGGAACGGAGGGGAAGGGAGGGGAGGCCAAGTTGGGCAGAAAGAAAAGAGGGTGGAGAAGGCAGAGAGGGGAGGAGAGGGAAGGAGAGGAAAGGAGAGGGAAGGAACAAGGAACGGTTAGGGAACGAGGGGAGGAAGATGAGGGCACGCGGGACTAGAAAATAAATATATAGATCGAGTGGAGGCAAGCGCGTGTGGAGAAAATCGTTGACAAATGGGACAGGGACGGGCAGAGAGGGGGAAGGGAGGGTAGGGGAGGGGAGGGAGGGGAGGGGAGGGGAGGGAGGGGAGGGGAGGGGAGGGAGGGGAGGGGAGGGGAGGGGAGGGAGGGTACGAAGGGGAGGGAGGAAGGAGAGTCCTGGCTGGGACGGGCTGACGGTACTCACCAGCACTCCATGAAGCGTATCCTTCGCCTCGCCCTCCTGCTGCTCCTGCTGCTGCTGCTGCTGCGTCCTTGCCTGCAGTTGGCCGGGCTTCTCTTTGCCGTGCTTGTTGTGCTGCCCGTGCTGCGCCCCAAGACCAGTGCTCTGCGGCGGGTTCTGCTGCTGCCACGGTGGGCGAGGGTCCTTTCCCGTCTCCAGGGCCAGCCGCCGGTACCGCTCCACTATGCTGTCCATGCTGGGGGGGGGGGAGGGGGGTTGTGGAGGGGAAGGGGGTGTGGGGGAGGAGAGGGGGGGGGAGGGGGGGGAAGAGAAGGGGGGAGAGGAAATGGGGGAGAGGTGGGGGGAGAGAGGAGCGGGGGAGGGAGGGGGGAGAGGGGGGGGGTCACAAATAGGTTGGATGGCACGGATGGGGCGGGCAGACAAGGTGCAACAGCAAGTGCGGCTCACGCGCAATGCAGCAGCATCGCTCCACGGCGTCCGTGCTGCAGGGGGAGGGGAGGAGGGGAGGCGGGAGGCGGGAGGCGGGAGGGGGGGCGGGGGGAGGCGGGAGGGGGGAAGGTGAGAGGGGAAGGGGAAACGGGAGGGGGGGGGGACAGCATTGGAAGGGAACAGGCGCAATGCAGCATGGCGATAGCGCGCTCCTGCCTGCCCGTCTCAGAGCCAGGCGCGGTGCCGCTCCACAATAGCAGGCATGCTGAGGCGGACGGAAGAGGGGGGGAGAGTGGGGGAGAGGGGGGAACGGAGACGGGAGAAGGCGCGGGTGCAAGGAGAGCAAGAGCTGCGGGAGCAGAGTGGAGAGCACGCTTAGAGCCCGCCGGACTCAAGGGCCACGCAGCAATAGCACTTCACATCCACAATGGCGACCATGCTGGGGGGGGCGAGGGGGGGGAGGAGGTGGGGAAGGGGCAGATGGTGCAAATTAAATGCATCGACTAATGTAGATGTGGAGGACACGGATGGCGCCCATGGTGTGAGGGGTGGATGGCACAGTTGTAACAGGGCATGGCAATGTCAGACATGTGGCATGAAGCAGACGAAACGGGCTGACAGGTGAAAGGGATGATAAGGTGCACGCTCGCCCCCACTCATGTGCACTGCACAGCACATACACACCCACACTCACATGCGCACTCAGGATGGCGCTCTGACTCTCAGTCCTCGGACCCATACCCTGCTCTATTCTCACCGCACGCTGCTCTCACCGCACGCTGCTCTCACCGCACGCTGCCACCAAACATCGTGACAATGTTAGCAACACTGCATGGTGACATCATGCGCTGACGTCATAGCAGCACAGCATCGCCAGACTCCCTCGTTGGTGACGTCAGACGCATTGCTGACGTCCGCCTGCCTGATGATGCAGATACCACGCACTTGGTGCTGACGTCAGGCTCACATACTGGTGACAACATGACCACCCGGTGCTGATGTCACTCACTTGGTGCTGGCGTATTGGAAGAGTTTGCCAGTGGCGGAAAAGATTATCACTCCGATCTCCACGTCGCACAGCACGGCCAGCTCGTACGCCTGGTGATGGGATGGGGATGGGATGGGCGGGATGGGATGGGCGGGATGGGATGGGCGGGATGGGATGTGCGCACGGAGTGGGTGCATGGGGCGATGCATGCATGCACGCATGGACGATGCATGCAAGCATGGACGATGCATGCACACAAAACGATCACTCCCACTCCCACCTCCACGTCGCACAGCACTGCCAGCTCGTATGCTTGCCTTTAAATGGGCGCATGGGAGGGGCGCATGGGATCGGCGCATGGCATGGGCGCATGGGTTGGGCGCATGGGATGGGCGCATGGGTTGGGCGCATGGTTGGGCACATGGGATGGGCGCATGGGATGGGCGCATGGGGTGGGGCGCATGGGATGGGCGCATGGGATGGGCCGGCTGTATGGACGCATGGGAGGGGGCGCACATGCAGAAGATGAGGAACCACATCCCCTCCCCAATCCCTTCCCCTCCCGCCACCTCATCCCCTCCCCCTCCCCCTCCCCCTCCCCCTCCCCTCCCCAACCTCCTCCCATCCCCTGCCATCGCCACCCCCACAGCAGCACACGACGAGGTGCCTCCCGCCCACCGCGCCTTCTTGAGTCATTCCCGAAGCGCGGCCATGCCGCCAGCACAGCGCACCCTCTTCCGCACTCCCCCCAGCGCACCTTCTTCCCCCCAACGCACGCTCTTCCGCGCCCCGCCAGGCGCACCCTCTTCCGCAACCCGCCCAGCGTACCCTCCCCCCCCCCACCACCCCTCAGTGCACCCTCTTCCGCAACCCCATCAGCGCGCGCTCTTCCGCACCCCGCCTGGCGCACCTTCTTGAGCAGTCCGTTGCGGCGCTTCGAGAAGGTCACTTGCCGCGTCGTCGCGTTGTCAATCTTCCGAATCTCGATCTTCCCACGCCCCATTCTGCGGCCTCGATATAAGCACGGTCGTGTACAGTCACTCAGCAGTCTTCCAAGTATCGATTTTCCCACTCGCACCCCCGTCCCGCCAGGGATTCTATTGAGTATCTGCTCTTGCGACGCTCGGCTCCGACTTCTGCGATGCCGCCTGGCGTGTTTGTGCGACGCTTGGCGGGTTTCAGCGACCGATGGCGAATTTCGGCGACGCCTGGTCGAATTCAGCGACGCTTGGCAGATTGCTTCGGCGCTCGGCTAGGTTCTGCGAGCTGGCGAGTTTCAGCGGCGCTTGCCGGGTTTCTGCGACGCTAGGCAGCTTCCTGCGACGCTAGGCAGCTTCCTGCGACGATGGGCAGGTTCCTGCGACGCTAGGCCGGTTTCTGCGATGCTTGGGGGGTACCTGTGACGCTAGGCAGGTTCCTGAGACGCTTGGCGGGTTTCTGCGACGCTAGGCCAGTTTCTGCGATGCTTGGCGGGTTCCTGCGACGCTAGACAGGTTCCTGCGACGCTTGGCGGGTTCCTGCGATACTAGGCCGGGTTCTGCGATGCCTGACGGGTTCCTGCGACGCTAGGCAGGTTCCTGCGACGCTAGGCCGGTTTCTGGAGATGCTTGGCGGGAATCTACTATGAGCGAAAAGCTCGAAACTTCGTGAGTTCCTCCGCTATGCTGATTCTCGGCGGCATTCAAAGGTTTCGCTGAACCGATGCCCGCTAAATACACAACAACACTACATATACTGTACACATCCGCTATACTGTACAGTGCTCGTGAGTCGTGACCCCGAGAAGCCCCTATTTCTACTAGGGTGGCGTAGCGTAGCTTGAGAGGGCGGAACGTGGGTCGGTCGGGACTAGTGACGCGGAACAGGTGCTTGCGAATAGGGCTCGCGCGAGGTCATCGCGACGAGGAGATGAGCGGCGGAAGGGAAAAGTGGAGGCAAGACCTGGCCGAAAATGGAGGCGGTGAAGTAAACGGAGGTTTTGCCAGTCCTGCACCACACGAGGTCATCCTTAGAACGTTAGCTGGCTGGCTGGCTGGCTGGAAGGAGGTTAGGGTGTGTCCAAAAAGCCCTGCAACCTTCCTCGACAAAACGGATGTCGAGGCACCGAGCGGTGAAATATCTGTATTCCTTCACAACCGTAAAGAGTCGCGCTGAAACTACGACGGATGTCGGCTGATGTCGTCAATACCAGTCGAGATCCCAAGCTGAACACGCTCTGAGAGTGAGCTGCTTTACCTAGCTGGTTGTTGGCTTTCCCAAGAAGCTGGGCTCGATGGTGCCCCTTGGTGTACAGTTTTGCATCTGTCCTATGGTGGATAAGAGTGCAACAGTAACGGGTTACAAAAACTCGTTTCTACCAATTTTGGATGCAAGGGTGTGTGTGGTAGGGTGGGGAAGGGGGCGCAGCAAACCTCCCTTGTTTCTCACCTGCCCTGTATCAAATCTAACGAAGACCCTCGAGTCTGGACTCAACTCGATCCCCTACAACTGTGCAGTACAATCCTACAGCGCTCTGTAAAGTTATGGGCCGAAAGTTTCCGAAATGTCATAAACATCCCTGGTTTGGCTCGGCTCAGCTTCCAGATTTCCAGATTTAAACTCAGGGACTTCTTTGGGCCGTGTATTTCATTCTGAGTGGCAATATACCTAACAGCTGATGTGTTAAAGTAGAAAGTCAGCATTTCTCATTCTGAGTGTCAAGAGCTACATGTAGATCGTGTCAGTATATTACATTGTAATACCAAACTAGCGGGTCCAAACGGAACCCATTTCCATAAATTTATGGCTATTTCTAGCGATCTGTGGGGTAGTTCTGCCCCAGACCAATCGTAGCTCTGACCAGTTTTCAATTTGGTGTTCTGCTAAATCAGGAGGCCGTCGATGATGTCAGATGACAGCTAAGAAATTTCGGAGGAAGGTGGTCAAATATATGTCTCGTGCATTCCATGCTCCGTCAGGGCTGTTAATATCGTGAAACCTTGTTATTCTTTTCCCAGGTTTGACGACTTGGGTTTGGAAGTGGAACGGATTTGATGTGTAGTCGACTGGCAGATACCCAAAATGGAATGTCGAATGGTTGAACCGAAAAGGAAGAGAGCGGATTCCGCACCTCGGGTGCGACCATGTGCTGACCCGTGGCTGAAGGAGCCGCGGGGTTTACAGACCTAACTGCGGGTCTTGGGATTCTGACGGTCGTGCAAAAACGAACGAGAGAACGAAAATGGGTTAAGACTGTATGGCATTGGGAGTCGTATATTGGCGGACGAATCACCACTCAATTTTCGTGCAACTTGTTTGCCGCTAAATTTGTCAGCTAGACGTGAGTCTCCAGTCAAACAGCAGTCAGGCCTCGTGAAGACCCGAGGCAATTTTTTTCATCTCTGGTGTTCCTGTCTGACACTAGTCTCAGAAACGAGCTTTAGAGTCTTCTCTGAAACCTGTTAGAAAATCACCCTCACAACCCCAAACTCGCTTACGTATTTTGTCCAGCGCTACCCCCGATTCGCCAGGTGCCCCAAAAGCCAAGGCATTCAATTGTGCCCCTCGACTCTGCCAACTGCCGCGATCTCATCGGCTGGTCCGGTTATGGTGCGAGTGGCAGGTTTTGGCATGCTATTCCTCATTTGGGAAAGGAGAGGGGGAAATGATAAAAAAGGGGAAATGATCAATATGGGGCCTCGATTTGCCAGAGGCGTGAGAAAAAAAGGTCCGGCAGCTTTTTGCCCCGAGACCTAGTCTCCGAGCCTGTGCTACACCTCATGTGTCATACAATACGCACACATCACAGGGTCACAAATTTTCAGGTTCATGGGGGCGCTTCGTGTCCTAACCCTATGGTGGGACATTTATACGAATTCAATGTACTGTATTAGGGCACAAAAAAAAAAAAAAAAAAAAAAAAAAGAAACCCATAGGGACACCGCATGCGACTTGGGGTGGCATCAACCCTAAACTCGCAAAAGGGCCGCGTGTTTAGGGTTGATGCCATCCGGAACAGGGCTCTCGATTCAAGGGTAAACATCCGGAATATCAGGTACATTCTGGATGTTTTCACCTGGAATTCGGATTTTGAGGGTTGCGGTATGGATATCCTCCTGAATGATTCCGAACGATTTTAGGAGTCCACCTGAGCCATCCGCGTTCCGCGAAAATTTTTCCTGGCCATCCAAGTAGTTTGGAAAATCACCCGTACCGGAATTGGAGCAGTCGACCCCCCCACACCCCCCACCCCCCCCCCCCCCCCCCCCCCCCCCCCCCCATCTTTCGCGCCCTTGGCCGAATTCTCACGCTTCAGTGCCACGCAACGCAATCTGATGAGCGACTCGTGGAAGGCGCAAAGTTCAAGGCAGTCAGACCAATCACAGACTGCCACTAACAAACTGCACAACTACATGACAGAATGTGGCGCGCACTCTCATGCTTTGCCCTCTCAAACTCCGCTGCTCCTACCACGAATTTGACGCGCGAAAGCACACTTGGCGAATTATGTCATGCATCCTTCCCTGTATCCCTCCCTGCTGCGGTTTGTCGCAACGCAACGCAATTCTAGTATGTCGCATCACACACACACACACACGCACACACTTTGGCGAATTCTGCTCAGTCACGTTCATGACAAGCCTTAACGGTAATTTGAAGCAGGGCGATGCACCGTTGCAGTTGATCGTAACGTGACCATATTTCGCCACAATGCCAGCCAACTTTGCGTTGCTCCCTGCTCAAACATGGGAGCGCGCATTGCCCGCACCGCTCTTTCAACACCCTTTCCCGCACGGTGCCTCAACGCGAGAAGTGGTTTGTTAGGCTATGTGCACTCTAACCGAGGCATGGGCAAGGTGGCTTTTAGCTTGAAAAGGCACAGCAAAGTCTCAAGTTAGCTAACTGTAGAGAGAAGGCAGCCTCTCATGGCTAACAACACCACCCTTGCAGCAGACCCCGTCGTTGTCCCCTTGTAGTATGTCGCTGATGACCCTAAGGACATAGGTAGTGAAGAGCCCTCAGCTGAGCCAATAGTCGAGGTTATGTCTGATGATCATGAAGCAACTGAACCTCTCAACCTCACGGAGGGCGTTCTTGAGCCAGAATCTGCTAGTGAGGATGAAGCCGCTGTTTCCCAGGCTGGTACTAGAAGAAGGTCTCGTCAGACCATCCTTCCATTCGCACCTCCTCCTGAGCCTAGGCGTCGCCGCACCACTGTCCCTGAGCCCACGAAGGATGATGCTCCCGTTGATAACGAGGGCGACCCCATTCCTGCAGCAGAGCGACTCATTGCCCGCTGTTACCGCCGTGAATGGCAGGACCACTTTGAGTGGCTGCGTCTCGAGTACCACAAACCTTCGCACCAGTATGGCTTGAAATGCACCATTTGCTTGGGGCATGGTGACGATGGGGGGCACACACGGTATGGCAGGAATGGTCTCGGCGCTCGGGACTTCCAGAAGACTAGCATCCGCTCCCACCAGCGTTTACGTGGTCATCAGTTGGCTGTTTCACGGAAGAACACGGCAGATGGCACGGAGCAAAATCAGAGACGCATGACTCAGTACGCGGACTCCGACGCTATGAAACGACACATTGTTTGCTGCATCCATGCCGCTTACTTTGTGTGCCGCAATGATGCACCGATCCTGCTGTATCCAACTCTTGTCCGCTTCTTGGTGGACGAGGGCATTCCTGACATGGCTGGCTCAGAATCCTACGGCCGCTACTTTTCCCAGTGAGTTGCTACTTTTTGCTGCACCCTTGTGTTGTTTTGCTGTTGTAATGCGTGAGGCATGTCCTTGTTTGTTGTGCCATTTTTTTATCGTAAACTTAACACGCAGGTTTACACCTCTTGCGTCTGATGTGTACATGGCAGGTATGCCATGAATGAGTTCACTACAGCGTTGCCACAGCATCTTTAGGACAAGCAATTGCGCTACATCAGGGAGAGTCCATGGTATGGGCTTTCTCTTGATGAGTCCACGAACCGTGCGCACGGTAAACATGATTGTTTACATGTCGTATGAGAGGGACCGGCAGGTTGTCACACAGTTTCTCGCTTTGCTGTCAGTGGAGAGGGCAGATGCCGAGTCCCTCCTCACGGCTCTCACATCCTTCTTGGAGTCATGCAGCATCCCGCTAGACAAGCTGGTCGGGATCTCCACCGACGGGCTTCGGTGATGACTGGACAGCAGGCGGGGCTGGTGGCACGCTTGCGACAGACATGCCCATGGCTTATTTCAACACATTGCATCGCCCACAGGTGACCAAAAGCTAATACTATACTTGCTGGAAATAGGAGCACTTAATAGCCTTTCCACTTACAACCTATATGTTTTTGAAAGTCATTGGAAGCCTCATTTAATGTCTCATTACATTGTTTTCTACACTTCACAGGGAGGCACTAGCTGCCAAGGATGCAGCATCCCGGATGCCTGACTTCAACCCAATCGACACACAAGTTAGGAGCACTGCTGAAATTCTGGGAAGGTCTCACGTAAGGCGCCAGAATTTCCTCCGCTTGCAGCAGGAGATTCTCCGCACCCAGCTCGAGGTTCAGGGAATGTACAACGTGCGGTGGCACACCGCACTCCCCAACAGGTGGCGATCGCGAAGAGAAGCCATCAACAGGTTTTGCGACGTGCTGCCCGCTCTTCTGTGGATGTGGAACGAGGAGGATCACAGCCTGCTCGAAACAGGAAGCTCTTTCAAGTTCTTGTTTATGCTCTTCTTCATGGCAGACGTGCTTGTCATGCTGAACACCCTTAACCTGCACTTCCAGGAGAGGCAGGTGGGATGATTGCGGTTGTTTATGGTTCTTATTTTTTTCATTCTTCATTTCTTCAGCTAATCTTCTCCATAAATTCCATCCTCAGCTTGAAATCACGGGTGTCAATCGCCGGCTGGAGGATGTGTGCATCCAGCTAGCACAACGCTACGTCGAGCCTAACAACCAGTTTGGCGCTGGTGTTAGCCCTCGGCT